GCCTAATATGCAAAGGAGTTCCTGCTACAAAAAGAGCCCCCAGGGTTGCTACGCAGAGGCAGGCCATGGCAGCCACCTCTGAACATCTTTTGCCTTGAAACCTCTACAGGGTCGGCGTAAGTTGGCTGTGACTTAATGGCACTTTCCACAGTATGCAGAAGGTCCCAGATTCAACCCCACCATTTCTAGTTAGGCAGCAAAGTTGAGGGATTGAGAAAATCATCATGGGCTGCTGGAGAAAAAGGTTCCCTCTGGGTCCATCAAGCATTGAAAAGTTGGGACTAAACTGAAGAAGAAAAGGAAGAAGAGACTGGATTTATACCCTGCCCTTCACTCAAAGTCTCAGAGTGGCTTACAGCCTCCTTCCCTTCCTCTCCCCACAACAAACACCCTGTGAGGTAGGTGGGGCTGAGAGAGCTCTGTGAGAACTGCCCTTGAGAGAACAGCTGTGAGAGAACTGTGACTGACCCAAGGTCATCCAGGAGCTGCATGTGGAGGAGTGGGGAATCAAACCCAGTTCTCTCAGATTAGAGTCCACTGCTTTTAACGACTACACCAAACCAAGCCATGGCACTGGGGCAGGGAGTTTACTCTCTGCTCCACCCCAAAGAGGGGAAAAGACAAACATCTGAATTACATAAAAATACTTCTTAACAGTGATTAAAATGTGGATTTCATTGGCAGAGAATGTAGTGATGGCTACAGGAACAGATGGCTTTAAAAGGGAGTTAGACAGATGTATGGAGGTCTGTCAGTGGCTACTAGCTATGATGACCAGTGTTCCCTCTAAGCTGAGTTAATGTGAGCTAGCTCACAGTTTTTTAGCCTCTGGCTCACACATTTTTGTCTTAGCTCAGGAAGGATGGCTCCAGAGCCAACTAATTTATGCAGCCGCCAAATTGCTCACTCACAACTTTAATGCTAGGAGCTCACAAAGTAGAATTTTTGCTCACAAGACTCCACAGCTTAGAGGGAACATTGATTGGTGACTGAGGGAGCCTCCACATTCAGTCATCCTCTGAATCCCAGTGCCAGGAGGCAACATCGGGGAAGGCCTCGGCCTCTATGCCCTGTTGTTGGCCTTCCAGAGGAACCAGTTGGCCACTGTGCAAAACAGGGTGCTGGACTAGATGGACTGGGGCTAATAGCAACCTGTCACCTGAATGCTGCATTTGCAGTCCTGATTCAAATCGTGAACACATGAAGCTGTGTCAGACCTTTGGGCTTTCAAGATGTACTGTCTACTCGGACAGGCAGCGGTTCTCCAAGGTCAGTTGGAGGTGTTTCACGTAACTTGCTACCAGGTGCTTTTCACTGGAGATGCCGGGGATTGTACCCGGGACCCTCTGTGTGCAAAGCAGATGCACTGCCACTGAGCCACAGCCCCTGACCAGACACAGAGAGAGAGCTAGTGAGCAACTTCTTATTGCTAATGCCAGGTGATCAGATCATGGTTCTCCCAAGTAACGTTGCTGTTATTCAAGCGCAGATTTATGATTTGGATTTTTGACACACCCCTTCCATGTTTACTTTATTTTTTAGGAAAACCATAGCCTTGAAGCTGCCTGGTTTGGCATTAAAAACGTGCTTATAAAAGTAAACCTCTCTTCTTCCTTCTTCTTAAGAACAGTTGCATAGAGACAGAGTTTTACCCTTACTGGAGGGAATAGCTTGGAAGTTTCACTTCCAATGAAATTTGTATGTCTGGATTATGCTTTCCGTTTATGCTCCCCCCCACCCAGGAAGAGCCATTTTGGGGCAAGTAGTTGTAGACTTATAAAGTTATTGTGGCCCCAGTTCCTTATTGCTGAGCTAGACTGCTCCTGCTTTGTAAAAACCTTGCCGGCTTCTACCCCACGTTACCTATCTCTGAGTTCTTCCTCTCCCTTTGCTAGCAGTATTGAACACTGAATATGTTTTACTGTTTTATATGTTTTACTGTGATAGGCTGTGTTCTTAGGGGGAAACTTCAACCCTGCCTTTCTGCCTTACCTGCTGCCCACACTAAGCCTCCGCACTCCTTGTTTTCTTTTTATCTGCCACCTTGCAAAAGATGCTTTGGTGCATCCATATTGCTAAGAAGAAGGTGACTTAATCGAGTGCCATTTGAATGGGTTGCCCTGTTTCCAGTTTGCACCAGGGCCATGGCGTCCCGGTCTTCTGACTCTTGTTGCCCTACTGGGAGAGAGGAAAAGATTGATGCGTGCGCCCTTTGCATGCCTAGATCTTTCTTTTGGGGGTGATCCTCAGTATCTGCTCTTCAGGACCCAGCACAGCCAGTTGCTTAATGCTCTGGATACTTTTATTCCTTTACTTTGTGTCACGTGTCCAGGACTGTGTGGGCTCTGTGCTTCAAAAAAAGGAAAAGGGGGGGGGGGAGAAACCCACATGCTGTTCTAAAAACAGTGCGATGTAGCAAATGGCATAATATGCAAATGAGGCACGCGTGCGCTTATTAGGCAGACGTAGTCGAGCCTGCTCCTGTGAGTCACGAGGAGGGGAAAGGAGCTCTGTGAGCAGGGAAGCGTCTGGAACCCCTCCTGCCCCTCTGGCTTGTGAAGGTTCACCAGGTATTGGCTGCCTCATGTGCTTTCACAGGGACTAGAAACCTGAGCCGCAATCCTGCCCACAGTGGTGTCAGAAGCATCCTCGCCTTTTGCGGTGCTTCCTTTTTGACGTAACGAAATTTCAGGACGCTGGATTTTCAGCCTGATCTCAGTCTCGGGGCTCATTCGGCGCGGCCACGTAATCAGAGACGACACGCGGCCCCCTGCCTCTGTCTGATATGCTGTGTATTGCATTTCTTTGCGTCTGTTTTGTTTTACTAATCCTCCTTGCTAATTTATTTTTTAATCTCTGTGTATGTTGTCTATTAATACTCACAGGCGTAGGAGTGTATTTGCTTTCCTAACTCTGTTACCTTCATGCCTCTGGACTGATTATCTCTTGGCATTTTATATTAACCCTTGGTAAGTCATTTTTAAACGTTTGGGTCTTCCTTAACGGCAGCTGTTCATGTCTTGCTGCGTTCGCTCAGGTGCTTCAAAGCCAACGTCTCTCTTTTCTGTCTTGCTGTGAGATGGAGGACGAAACGTTGGCTCCGCGGCTGCATTTCTTTGGGGGGGGGGAGGCAGGGGTGAGCTAGGTATTGGAGCCAGTGAGTGGTGAGAGTGCTGGACTACTAACAAGAAAAGCCAGATTCAAGTCTCCACTCTACCATAAAGCTCACTGGGTGACCTTGGACCAGTCAGAGGAAGCTGCCAATCGCTGAGTCAGACCCTTGGTCCATCAAAGTCAAGTATTGTCCACTCAGACTGGCAGCGGCTCTCCATCGTCTCAGGTGGAAGTCTCACATCACCAGCCACCTGATCCTTTTAGCTGGAGATGCTGGGGATTGAACTCGGGACCTTCTGCATGCCAAGCAGATGCTCTGCTGCTGAGCCACACACCCCCTTTCCCCACTCATTCTTTCTCAGCCTCACCTACCTCACAGGGCTGTTGCGATGATAAAACGAAGGAACACAGCGCAATGTATGCTGGCTTGAATTCCTTGGAGGAAGGGTGGGATAAAAATACGCTAAATGAATAATCGATATTCACAGGGCATTAATGTAGCTAGTGCTAAGAGGGGTTCCCCCCCCTTATAGGAACTCATTGTTTCTTGACTCAAGCCAAGGTACTTTTCGAACACGAGACTGTTATGTAAAAATCTGTCCCTGAGAGGTAGCGATTTCCCTGATTTGGAACACTTTGAAAACCACGCTAAATGAATAATCGATATTCACAGGGCATTAATGTTGCTAGTGCTAAGAGGGGTTCCCCCTCCTTATAGGAACTAATTGTTTCTTGGCTTAAGCCAAGGTACTTTTCGAACACAAGACTGTTATGTAAAAATCTGTCCCTGAGAGGTAGCGATTTCCCTGATTTGGAACACTTTGAAAACCTGGCAGGTTTTAATCATTCAATTGCACAGATGTGCATGTTGAAGCTCGCAGCCTGCTAATCATCGAACGTTCCCCAGTGTATATAAAAAATGTCGATGGTAAACATATCCCTTGTTAAAGCTCCCTGATTTACTTATTCAGAGATCCAGAAGGTGGCTAATGAAAATTCGAAAGGAAATCACCGACTGGGGAAAAGATGGCCGTCTATTAATGGCACTGACGCTTTTTTGTTTGTTTGTTTTTCTTTCAGGAGTAAAAATGGTCTGAAGAAGAGAAAGCTGACCAAGTATGCCCATTTTTGTAAATATTCGCACAAACGAATGAAAATAATGCTTATTTGCACAGGCATCCTCCTGAAATCACAAGGCCTCTAATGTCACCTGCAATAACTTATGATAGATGGAACAGCCTTATACTGAGTGGGACCAATGGTCCTTTTAGCCCAGTAGTGAGCCTAGGCTTGCCAGGTCCCCTCCTGGCCACTGGTGGGGGATCGGGGGTACGACTGTGAGCTCCGTGTTGGGAAACTTCTGGAGATTTGGAGGTGGAGCCCGGGGAAGACAGGAACCTCAGTGGGGTATCATGCCATAGAGTCCGCCCTCCAGGATTGGCAACTCTGGGTTGGGAAGTTTCTGGAGATTTGGCAGTGGAGTGTGGGGTTTGGGGAGGGACCTCAGTATAGTGCAATACCGTAGATTCCAACCTTCAGAGAAGCCATGTTCTCCAGAGGAACTGATCTCTGTAAACTGGGGATAAGTTGTAATTCTGGGAGATCTCCAGGCTCCACCTGGAGGCTGGCAACCCTGCCCCAGCTTTCTGTGGCGCCATTCTCCAGATGTGGCTCAGTGGTAGAGCATGTGCTTTGTTCAATCCCTGGCATCCAAGGCCTCTAGGCGATAGAGAAAGTCCTTGTTCTGTGTGTGAGCCACAGATGATGCTGAGCTAGAAGGACCAAGGGTCTGACCTGGTATGAAGCAGCTTTCTACAAATTTCTCCATCCGGACTTCATTGGCTGCTACTTGTGGGGGTGGGGCAACTGCCAGAGCGGTGGTGTAATTTCCCACATTTTCATAATACTGAATGTTAAAGGTGTGAAGGGGAGGAGGATACACAGGGCTGACGTTTTCAGCGGCAGCCGTGCGTCTCCTGTCAGGGTTTTGGCCTTCAGCTGCTTGGCCTCTCTCGCAGTGCAATCCTAAGCAGAGTCACACCCTTCTAAGCCTCTTGACTTTAGTGGACGTAGGAGGGTGTAACTCTGTTCAGGATTGTGCTGTGAACCTGCTGGGCCAGTTTGGTGTAGTGGTTAAGAGCAGCGGTCTCTGATCTGGAGAACCGAGTTTGATTCCCCACTCTTCCACATGCAGCCAGCTGGGTGACCTTGGGTCAGTCAAAGTTCTCTCAGAGCTGTTCTCTCGGGAGCAGTTCTCTCAGCGCTCTCTCAGCCCCACCTACTTCACAGCATGTCTGTTGTGGGGGGAGGAAGGGAAGGAGAGTGTAAACTGCTCTGAGGCTCCGAGGGAAGGGCAAGGTATAAATCCAATCTCGTCTTTTTCTTCTGTTTCCCTCTTGTTTTAAGGGCAAGTGCTAGACTTGGGGGAACCACTGCTGATTTCTTGGCTAGAGACTCCTAAAAGTCTGAAGCCCCGGGCCAATTTCTAAAAGAGGATCACACGGAACCAAGAGAAATTGTTTTCTGTTTTGTCTTCCCCGGCAGATAGCACATGATAAAAATGTTCCCGAGCAGTAGAAAATTAGCCGCTGGGGAAAAATCAATTAGCTCGTGTTAGCAATTCCAACAGTGCCGTGCCTTTAGTTAACAGTGATGAACTGTGACAAGCCTCTGGAACGGATCTGTTATCAGTTCTGTTCCCCTTTCAACACGGAGTCGCTAATTGTGCACTGGATCATTATTGCTAGCAGGTAAACAGGAGCAATTAACTGTTGATAAGAGACAGAACGCCTTGGAGGGGGGGTGGGTTGTTGCTTCCAGGAAACCGGGAGGGGAAGTGGCGACACATGCATCAGCATTTGAGGATCAGAACACGGTAACGAGGCAAGAGAAACCATTTGCCTCGTTTCCATTAATTAGGATATAGATAGAATAAATTAGGGTGAATTTACACCCGAAGCCAGCCCGGAGGCGGCCTCGTGACTGCATGCCGCTAGAAGAAATGGCACAGGCTTGGATTCATATGACTGTGTCTATGGCGAAAGGACGTCCTCCCACTGAGAGCAGTTTCCTCGTTTCTCCCTGCAGCAGCTGCACAAAATATCCCTGAAATCTTGCCCTTGGGAAGAAACTTCCCCTAAAACAGGATTTCGGGGAGCATTTCGGGCTGCCTTGGTAGAAGAGGGCTGGGAAATGCCGAAGTCTGTGTGCCCACGGAAGCGTTTCTCTGGATCTAACCCTAAGGCCTGACTGTTGCAAACGGTGGCTGAGTCAGGACACCTGTGCTTCAACCCTGGATTAACTGTTAAGCAAAATAAGCACGTGCTTAGGGCAACCGGGGGGAGGGGCACAGAGGGTGGGGTTTTTTTGCTTACATTGCTTACTGCTATTTAGTGTGATTTTTTTTTTAAAGTTTATATTTAATATAGTTGTGGGGGATAGACTGGAAGATTTTACATCTCTTATTTCGCCTTCAGCACTTATTGAATCTTAATGAGAGCCAGTTTGGTGTCGTGGTTAGGAGCGCGGACTCTAATCTGGGAGAACCGGGTTTGGTGCCCCACTCCTCCACATGCACCTGCTGGTGTGACCTTGGATCAGTCGTAAAGTTCTTTCAGAGCTGTTCTCTCAAGGGCAGGTCCTCGAAAGAGCTCTCTCAGCCCCACCTGCCTCACAGGGTGTCTGTTGTGGCGAAGGGTTTAGTTTAGTTTTATGATTACAGTCCTAAGTCCAGCATACAATATAAACATAATATAAGAAAGGGGGAGGGGAGATCAGAGATAATATACAGAGTAAAAATCTAAATTTAAAAACTTTTAAAATGCGACTCCTGCAATCTAAGAATCAATGCACAGAACTCAGCAACTGCCTGTGTAATCTCTGCATTCTTATCTGATAGAAGCCAGTGAAGCCTTGCTTTGTTTGTATTAATGTGACCAGGTATCCTGTCAACTCATGGGGTAATAATTTTAAAACAAGCCTCTCTGTAGAATGGGCTACTGAAAAACATATGCTCTACTGATTCAACTTCGCATGAAAGGCATGAACATAGCCTTTCAGGGTAGGATTGTGGGGGAGGGAAGGGAAAGGAGATTGTAAGCCACTCTGAGACTCCTTCACGTAGTGAAGGGCAGGGTATAAACCCAATCTCTTCTCCATTTTAATGTCTTGTCAGTTAAGCAATGGAAGGGCCGAGGGGCACCGTTGTTGGGCCATGCCTAGGGCATCAGTTGGCCTTAATCCAGCCCTGCTCTGCCTTCAGACTGTAGGTGGGGGCTGACATGTTTAAATGGTGCTTCATGCAAACAAAGCCCCTCCCCTGCACAGAGAAGACGAACATGCCCTGGAAGATGGTTAGATTTCACCCTTTTAAGGCAGACTGGCCAACTGCACATGTCCCTTGGCCATCTCTGGCCTCTCACAAGGGACTCTCTCCTTGCAAGTTGTTGAGAATGGCGGCAGAGGGTTCCGTGGCCACAGCCCAGCCCTCCATCCCTTCGACCCATCCCAAGACAGCACCAAGCCTTTGTAGGGCCAGCGGCATCCCTTTAAAGGGGGGTGACTCTGTAGTCTTACCATTCTCCCGGAATGACTGAGGGTAGCTCTAGGAATCACCTGAAACTCTATGGTTCTACCATAGAGTTTCTGGGGGTTCCTAGAGATACCTATGTTTTCCCTGTTTGACCATGCTGTGGTTCCATTGTGGCCAGTCTACTTCCCATGGCCCCCAGGTACTGGACTTACCTGGATCCCCCCCCCCTTTCTGGACACTACTATCAAATATGTGACACTTTCTTAGTAGAGCTTCTCTGTTCCAAATCCTGGCCTACTGGATCACAATTCAGCTCCACCGCTTGATTACCAGATGGTGGTTTTTGTGAATGACCGACACGTTCTCTTTCTCTCTGTGTGGTTTGTTTTAAAGCCCCGTCCAGCTGGATGACTTTGACAGCTACATCAAGGACATGGCAAAAGATTCCGATTACAAATTCTCCCTGCAGTTTGAGGTAAGCCCATGCTGGGAAACTCAGTCCGAACTCTCTCTGCAACTGCTGCAGAAAAAGATGGTAAAACAAATGTTCAGACTTTCTGAGATGTATTGCTTTAGACTGGATGTGGGAGAAAGCATGTTAAATTCCCTACATTTGATTCCATATTGATATTCTACAATGGAAATTTTACCAAAACACAGGGCCCTGCCCTCGGGTTCATAAACCACTAAAAGACATCCCGGGGGTGGTGGTGGGGGTGGTACAGGGAACATTAAAAAAAAAGGCGATCAGCCAGAGAATGTCAGCATTTATATCCAGCTGGGGACATTTATATCCAGCCGGTCTTTCCTTGCTAGTGTTCTTCCTGGGAGGAAATGGGGTACAACCTTCCCATGGTGGGTGCCATCTAGGGCTGCCAACTTCCGGGCGAGGCCTGAGCTTCTCCTCAAGTTACAGTTGGTCTCCAGACTTCAGCTTTAAAAGCAGACTTATGGAGGAGCGGTCGGCCAGGGGCTACTAGCCAGGGTGGCTGAAGGGAACTCCCATTCAGAGGCAGCAAAGCTCTAAGTACCAGTGTCACGAGGCAAGATCAGGGAAGACCCCTTGGCGGCCTCTATGCACATTGGCCCTCCAGAGCAAGTGGTTGGCCACTGTCATGTGACCGGATGCGGAACTAGGCTGGTCCACTGGCCTGATCCAGGAGGGCTCTTCTTATGTTCTGATGTTCTTATGGCCACAGAGATCAGTTCCCCTAGGGGAGAATTTGTGGCATTAGATCCTCGCTGAGCTCCCTCCTGTCTCCAAAAACCCACCCTCCCCAGGCACTGCCCTCCCAAATCTCCCAAGTATTTCCCAGTCTGGAGTTGGCAACCCTAGACCCACCTTAGATTGGGGCGTGACGCCACTGTGGATCACAAGTCCACAAACCGAGAAGAAACAGGTTGGCTTAACGGTGGCCTTTATTTTGTGTCACCCACAGGAATTGAAGCTGATTGGCCTGGATATCCCCCACTTTGCGGCTGACCTTCCTATGAATCGCAGTAAAAATCGCTACACGAATATCCTGCCTTGTAAGTCGCTCTCTGAGGGTTCACCTGCCGAGTTGGCTTTGAGCAGCGGACTCTTGGCAGTATGTTAACACTGGTCCCGGTCATCGGCATCAGGATGGGGTGTTTTTTTAAAGCAATCTTGTGACACAACAGCCGGCCTGTGGAGATCCCTCCAGCCTCCCAACTTCGGAGGAAGGCCTGGACAGTTACTTAAAATGCGGCTAGCAATTCTGTGTGGCAAGCCGGTCACGTGAGGCGGCTCCTCAGGCGGCTTCGGCCAAATATGGCTCCTCCCCCATGCTGCACATGGGGTGGTTTTCTTCTCGGGACTCCATTTTGGGGAGGCACACTGTTGGATGTTACAAGTTAAAACACTTCTTCAGTATTTACTGGGTTAATGATGTTTGTTAAATCACATGTTTGTTTGTGACCAATCTGTTTAGAGAGTTAGAAAGCCCGGGAAGTTCATATCTAGCTTGTTGTTCTGATTGGAGACCAAAGTGCCAAGTATTCGCATTTTATGGTTCTTTGTCCTGAGTAAGAAGAAGAAGTTAGTCTTCGCTCTCTTCTGCCATGTTCAGTCTAGCTGTAAGGATGTAGGAATATTAGCTGTTTGTTATTTTTCATCCCGTGTACCTTTTCCCCATGCTAGGTTGTAGTAAACTTTTATTCTTTTAAACACACCATGGACTCTGCCTCTTTAATACTCTACTGATTGCTGATTTGCTTTAAAATTAAGAATACCCAACACACACACACAGAGTCTGCTTGCAGGTATCAGCCAGTTGCTAGGCGGCATGAGACCTCAGTGCCGGAACACCGAGTGAGCTTGTATTCTATTTATTTGCTTAGGAGATTTCTACGCCGCCTCTTCAGAATCCTGCTCTTTAAATTTAAAAACACAGTCTGAAACACAAGCCACTATAACACACACACAAGCCATTCAACAACATCAGGCATCTCCCTTCCTTCACACATTTGGCTCCTTCTCTCTTTTCCCTTTGCGTTTTTTAATTCTTCTACATATAAATGTAACCTTTTCCTCTACTGAGAAAGTGGCTTTACCTATGGGGAAGAGGTACAGGAAATGAAATATATTCACTCGTTAATAATGAACGGGGTGGTGGTGGGGGGCTGCTCTGCAGCACTCGTGCGTCTTCTCAGTGATTTCAGTGGGCTCCTGGAGACTGCGAATAAAGGTTCGTGGCGGTGGGAGCAATCAAAGAGTCTTCTCATTGGATGGGCTTGTGAGTTCACTGAAGCATTGGTGAAGCTGGCGGGCCAGCAGGACATTTACATTCAGCTTTCTGAGGTTGAATTAGGAGTTCTCCATGCCCGCGTGTGCTTCAGTCTGCCTCTGCCTCTTTCTCCTTTCGCAGATGACTTCAGCCGTGTCCGATTGGCTTCCATGAACGAAGAAGAAGGCTCCGATTACATCAATGCCAACTATATCCCTGTAAGTGAATCAGACTTAGATCAGCCTAAGGAGCCGTGATGATGATGATGGTTTGTGGGGGGAGGCTGTGGACAGGAAACCAAACCCCATGAGAGATTAAGGGTTATCGCTCCATTTCAAAGCCGGTTCCCAGCGTTCAGTCCTGCCCTACCATGACCAAGGAACTAAAATCAGGATGGGGTTATACAGATAGGGATTCTCAGGTATTAGGGCCTCCGGGGGCAGGTTTTGCCCTTCTCCTAAGAATGTCCCCGAGTGCCTACGTAAGGGCAGAACTACATATAATGAGGCAAGCAGTGTTCTAGAGCTATCCCGTCTTGGTTCAGATGGAAGGGTAGTTTGAGATAGTAGGAACGTGGAAGGATCTTTAGGCTTACTCAACTGATTCCTCCTCCCATTTTTTCTGCTTTGCAGCAACTCATTGTTTGGCATTACATTCGAACCTTGGAAACAGTGGCTTGTTCCCAGTTTGAAATCCTGGTTTGCAGTAGGCATGGGTGGGAGTCAATCATTCTTTTCTGCACTTCTTCCATAGTTCTGCTGCATACCTTTGGCGTCCTTCTAATAATCCACTGAGAATTTCTATGAACTTTCAATACCATTTTTATACGTGATTTATCTGTCTCAAAGGAGCTGCGGTGGCTCAAGTGGTTAAGACGCTGAACTGCAGGCTGTGGAAGGTTGGTAGTTCAGCAGTTCGAGACCCGAGTGTGCCGCATGACGGAGTGAGCTCCCGTCTCTAGTTCCAGCTCCTGCCAACCTAGCAGTTCGAAAGCAAGAAATTGCAAGTAGATAAATAGGTACCGCTTCGGTGGGAAGGTAACAGCGTGGTGTTTAGTCATGCAGGCCACATGACCACGGAAACGTCTTCGGACAGCGCTGGCTCTTCGGCTTGGAAACGGAGATGAGCACCACAACCCTAGAGTCGGATTCGACTGGCTTTCGAGCAAGGGAAACCTTATCTGTCTCAAATTATATAAATCCATACTTCCATAGCATTTTTGTAATGATAATGGATCCAAATGCACATCCAGATTTTTCAGTACTCTTCCAGTGGAAAATAGAGAGCAGAATGCATACGCAGTTCTTCTCCGTGATATGGGGCTTTTCCGCATTCTGATTTTCCTTGCTTGTGTGTCCCTGTTGCTTGGGGGGGGGGGGAAGGTTCTGTTCCACATGTGTTTTGCTCCCTCTAGTGGTCAATGCGATATCACATCACTTTATGACTGGCATAAAACCCTGCGCTTTAAGGCCCAATCTGCATCTAGCATTTGCTCCGCTGTTATACCGAACCCACACTGGAACAGAAATTCCCCGTCTACATTGCATGCCACTTTCACTTTGATTGACTCACATTTTATGGCAGTGTCCAGACTGCATGCTGCTTTCACTTTGTTTGATCTCTGGTTTTATGGTAGCTGTCTGCATAGACTTATGGCCGTTTTATGGCCATTCGGGGGTGACTCTGCAGTCAGTACAGTGTCGGTCCGGTGTAGTTGAATGTGGTTTTGAACCGCCTCTTTTTCAGTTCCAAAAACAACCGAGCAAATGCTAAATGCAGATTGGGCCTAAATCTCCAGCGAGATACCCCCGGCATAAAGTGATGTGATATCAAATCAACCACTAGAGGGAGGAAAACACAAGCAGAACAGAAACAACACACACACACCCAGCCCCCCATAACAGGGACACACAAGCAAGGAAAATCAGAATGCGGAAAAGCCCCATGTCACGGAGAGGAACTGTGTATACATTCTGCTCTCTATTTTCCCCTGGAAGAGTACTGAAAAATCTGGATGTGCATTTGGATCCATTATCATTAAAGAAATGCTACAGAAGTATGGATTTATATAATTTGAGACAGATAAATCACATATAAAAATGGTATTGAAAGTTCATAGAAAAGCCAATGGATAACTAAGACTACAACACCATGTTCCAGGGAAAATCTCTAATAAGGAGATATTTGGATGCATCCCCAAGGCAAGCAAAACTAGGTTGCCCGTTCGGATAATGATTGCAGACTTTGGTCGGTGGCAAACATGTTTGGTAAATCTTCTTTAGGGGACTGTTTGAAATGAACACAAATAACATCTCCTTTTGTTGGGGAGGAGAGGAGCTGTGTTTTTCCAAACATGACTGCAGTCAGTAATTAATTAGGAGCTAATTAATTAGCTCTATTAGGAGCAAACTAATTAGTTCCTGCTCTGTAATTACATGTAGTATACACAGAATATAAATAATTAGGAACAATTAATTACTGTGTTCTCTCCCTCCCCCCCCCCCAATTCTGTGGCCCTTTCTTACACACCCAGGGAAATGCTGATCGCCACTTTGGGGTCAGGAACCTGGAGGGGTTTTTTTGTCATCTTCTGGGCATGGAACAGGGGTCACTGGGGGTGTGGGGGCATCTGTGGATTTCCTGCATTGTGTAGGCGGTTGGACTTGATGACCCTGGAGGTCCCTTCCAACTCTATGATTCTATGTATATATATGTAATTGAGGGGAGGGTCCAGGCAGAAGGAGGGGAGTGATAGAAGAAGAAGAGAAGTGATTGGATTTATACCCCACCCTTCACTACCCAAAGGTGTCTCAGAGCGGCTTACAAACTCCTTTCTCTTCCCCTCCCCACAACAGACACCCTGTGAGGTAGGGTGGGGCTGAGAGAACTCTTGACAGAAACTGCTCTTTTTCAAGAACAGCTGTGCCAGAGTTATGGCTTGCCCAAGGTCATCCAGCAGCTGCGAGTGGAGGAGTGGGGAATCAAACCCAGTTCTCCCAGATTAGAGTCCGCACACTTAACCACTACACCAAACTGGCTGGAAGTTTGTTTGTGTAGCACCAAATCCACAAGTTAATGTTTCCAGCCCCTTCTCAAGACCTGTCTTAGGGTACAGATTAGGGGTGTGCACTCAGTATTTACCGAGCCAAATAAATAACCGAAAAATACCTTATAGGCATTTTTGGCGTATTTATTCAGCCGAATCAGCGGCAGCACACTCAGCAAGGAAAGGGAAGGCATTTAAAGAGACAGACCTTCCCTACCCTTGCTGAGGTAAACTGCCATGTCGGCACACTCAGCAAGGAAAGGGAAGGCATTTAAAGAGACAGACCTTCCCTACTCTTGCTGAGGTAAGCTGCCATGTCGGCACACTCAGCAAGGAAAGGGAAGGCATTTAAAGAGACAGACCTTTTCTACCCTTGCTGAGGTAAACTGCCATGTCGGCACACTCAGCAAGGAAAGGGAAGGCATTTAAAGAGACAGACCTTCCCTACCCTTGTTGAGGTAAGCTGCCATGTCGGCACACTGAGCAAGGAAAGGGAAGGCATTTAAAGAGACAGGCCTTCCCTACCCTTGCTGAGGTAAACTGCCATGTTGGCACACTCAGCAAGGAAAGGGAAGGCATTTAAAGAGACAGACCTTCCCTACCCTTGCTGAGGTAAACTGCCATGTCGGCACACTCAGCAAGGAAAGGGAAGGCATTTAAAGAGACAGACCTTCCCTACCCTTGCTGAGGTAAACTGCCATGTCAGCACACTCAGCAAGGAAAGGGAAGGCATTTAAAGAGACAGACCTTACCTACCCTTGCTGAGGTAAGCTGCCATGTCGGCACACTCTGCCATGTCAGCACACTCAGCAAGGAAAGGGAAGGCATTTAAAGAGACAGACCTTCCCTACCCTTGTTGAGGTAAGCTGCCATGTCGGCACACTCAGCAAGGAAAGGGAAGGCATTTAAAGAGACAGGCCTTCCCTACCCTTGCTGAGGTAAACTGCCATGTTGGCTCACTCAGCAAGGAAAGGGAAGGCATTTAAAGAGACAGACCTTCCCTACCCGTGCTGAGGTAAACTGCCATGTCAGTACACCTCAACAAGAGAAGGGGCGATATTTAAACTTTAAATGCCTTCCCTTCCCTTGCTGAGGTGTGCTGCTGCTGTGGTGTGGCTCAGTATATACCTATATTTTTGGGGTTTGGTATACCTGAAACTGAAAAATACCGATTTTTTGGTGCACACTCCTAGTACAGATGTGACAAAAGTCAGGATTTCCCACCAGCCTCTATAAGGTGAGTTACACTTGCTCCCACAATTTGGATTGCTACCATGCAAGAACAGGAGGGGTGAGCTAACACTTCAGCAACTCTCCTGGTTATGCCTATCGAAACCGGGCTCCTTGCACTGTTGTCAGCATCTTAAAAGGGGATAAAAGAAACAGAGCAGAAAGGTGAAATCCCTTCTCCCTTTTCTGTGCAACCCGCATGTGCACCATCTCCTTTTTACAGACTGCAGAGCCATGACCTTTTTCATGTCTGTCTGTATCCTTATGGTGCAGAGTTTTATTAGACCAGGGGTCCCCAACCTTTTTGAGCCTTTGGAATTCTGACACAGTGAACATAAGAGAACATAAGAACATAAGAGACACCAATGTTGGATCAGGCCAAAGGCCCATCCAGTCCAACACTCTGTCACACAGTGGCTAAAATTACCAGGTGCCATCAGGAGGTCCACCAGTGGGGCCAGGACATTAGACGTCCTCCTACTGTTGACCCCCCCAAGTACCAAGAAGACAGAGCATCACTTGCCCCAGAGTTCCTATCTATACCTTCTGGCTAATAGCCACTGATGGACCTCTGCTCCATATGCTTCCCTTTTGAAGCCATCCATGCTTGTAGCCGCCACTACTTCCTGTGACAGTGAATTCCAAGTGTTAATCACTCTTTGGGTGAAGAAGTACTTCCTTTCATCCATTCTAACCCGACCGCTCAACAATTTCATGGAGTGCCCACGAGTTCTAGTATTGTGAGAAAGGGAGAAAAGTACCTCTCTCTCTACCTGCTCTGTCCCATGCATAATCTTGCAAACCTCAATCATGTCACCGCTCAGTCATCGTTTCTCCAAGCTAAAGAGCCCTAAGCGGGCACAGGCACAAGATGGCTGCCCCAGGAGGCGGAGCCAGCCACAGAATAGCTACAGCAGCTGACCTCCAGTCATACAGCAGAGTCTGCTACTGCTAAAGCAAAGTTTTTAGAAATCTGCACAGCCAATCAAATCTCCAGTAGCCAATCAGAAGCCTTGCTGGGCAAAAGGCCCACCAGGCACCGCCCACTTTCTAAAAACATTTATGGGCCCCAGGAAAGGTTTCTGTGGGCACCACGGAGCCTACAGGCACCACGTTGGGGACCTTTTTGCCAGATGATCCATTCTGGGTTTTTTCCCCATGTTCCTCTTGGAGCATCTGCTGCACAACCAAGGGCAATCAGAGGCAGTGTTCCCTCCAAGCTGAGTTAGTGTGAACTAGCTCACAGTTCTTTAGCCTCCGGCTCACACATTTTTGCCTTAGCTTGGGAAGGATGGCTCCAGAGCAAACTAATTTATTCAGTAGCCAAATGGCTCGCTCCCCACTTTAATGCCAGTAGCTCAGAAAGTAGGATTTTTGCTCACAAGACTCCACAGCTTAGAGGGTGCATAGATCAGAGGACATGGCTTTAAAGGCTCTAAATTTCATGGCAGACGTGATCCATTTTTCTAGGTTGCCAAATAGATGTAGAACTTCCTTATTTTCGAGGAAGATCTCAAGCCATGTCTTGTGGTTTTTCTTCTAGGGCTACAACTCTCCGCAAGAGTACATCGCCACTCAAGGCCCGCTGCCAGAGACACGGAATGACTTTTGGAAGATGGTGCTTCAGCAGAAGTCGCAAATCATCGTGATGCTTACACAGTGCAACGAGAAGCGGAGGGTAGGGTACCGCATCCTCCATGTCTCTTGGGAAGGGGGGGGGTTGATTGTGGCCGCCCCAGCCCAGCGTTCCCTTTCCTGAATTGACTCTGAACAGTCAGAAACAGAACAGGAGGGAGGAAAAAAATCCCGTTTGCCCCCGTTCGTCTCATAATCAGAGTCTTATAGAACTCTGAATACAGCAGCTCTGTTGGTTACCGGAGCTAATGGCCTTCGAGACAACTGCTTATGAATGTGGGTAGACCCCTTCCAAAGCCATCAAAGCCAGGGACAATCTCCACATCTTGTGGCAGTGAGTTCCATAAGTTAACAACATGTACTTCGTTTTTGTGTGTCTATAACCTGCTGCCAGGCACCTTCAATGTGAGCCTTATGTGCATTAGGAGTGAGAATTATATATTTTTTTTTTCTCTGCCTGCTGTCTCCCAGGCCTTTTCTAATCATAATGAAAGGCTGGCCTGCACCTATGTCTTCCCCCATTATACAGAGGATTTGCTGCCTGGGTGGCTGGTTGGATGTATAATGAATGGG